GGCGTGCCCCGCCAATGGCCTTGCCTCCTACCAGACGCTCACCAGCTGCCCTGCCGACAACTACCAGGCCTGCCTGGGCTCCTACGCCGGCATGATTGGTAAGCTCTGTGCCCGCGGCTTATGGCAGCCCCGCTGCCTCGATCTCCGCCGGGCAGGGACCCGGCCCAGCTCCCGGCTCGCCAAGCTTGGCTTTGCTGAGGGTTCAGAAAGAGCTGTGTTAGGGAGCCGGGGCGGGGTGGGTGGCCACAGTGCTCTGTCCAGGGGAGGCTGGCTATCAGGCCTGGGCGGGCTCTGCAGGAAGACGAGGTAGTGACACTCGTGGCAGGATTCTGGCACCCCAGGCACCAAGCTAAGCAGTTCTCGGGGACTGTTGTTCGAACCCTCTCCGACACTCTTACTGGAGAGGTGCTGGCACCTTCACTTTGCGGAGGAGGAAACTGAGGCACAGGGAAGCTGGTCACATGGGCGGACTCAGCAGCTGGGTAATGTGGGCGCCAGGACCTGATCCAGGGCGGGAGCCTCGTCTCCCTGAGGCTGGAGGGTACCCTGCTTATTAGTGAAGGGGGAAGCCAGGCAGAGGGCCCCTGGGCGCCTTCCTGCCGTCTGGTGGCGGGCAGCCCGGCGCTCTGCGCTCTGGCTCCCGTGGCCACTGGGATAGCAAGGCTCCGAGTTAGGGCTGTGAGCTGTGGGTGTGTGTGCCCAGGGGCGGGAGGGAGGGCGACGGCCAGGCCTCTGCCCTACGGTGTCGGGGCCACACCCAGAGGCCTCTTTCCTGCTCCTCTCTCCTCCCCCGCTCCTGCGGCCCAGGGTTCGACATGACGCCCAACTACGTGGACTCCAGCCCCACCGGCATCGTGGTGTCCCCGTGGTGCAGCTGTCGTGGCAGCGGGAACATGGAGGAGGAGTGTGAGAAGTTCCTCAGGGACTTCACCGAGAACCCTTGCCTCCGTGAGTCCCAGAATGCTCTCCCCGTCCCCAGAAGTCCCTTAGCCCCTCCCAACAGCACGGCCTCTGCCTGGTGGTGTCCCCTCCTCCCTGCGGCAAGTTCCCACAGAACTGTCAGGAAAGCGGGGTCCCACCTCTTTATCAAGGGGAGTAGAGCTTCAGAGACGGCAGTGATACACATGGGCTTCTCTGTGGGCGACGCTGCCCCTGGGGACCTGGGGCTGGCCCTGGGGAGGCACCCAGCACTGCAGTAGGCCAGCCTCGGTTTACTGCTGGCGGCTGAGAGTCTGTGTAGGTCAGGCTGGAGGTCTCTGGTCTGTTGTCACAGCTTTACCCAACCTCGCCCTCCCACGAGGACCTCGGTTCTGTCACTTCTCCCTGTAATGGGTCTCGTCCCCTGGGACCCAGTGACTTGGTTTTGAAGTCATCGACCTCTCACCGAAAGGCTGGCAGGAAGGTTGGCTACTGCAGAGCCCAGGCTGCCTTGGTCTGTCCAGGCTGACTCCCCCTGCTACCAAGGCCCACCTGGAGACCTCGCCCCACCTTCCTCTTTCTTTCCTCCCTCCCATCTGTCTGTCCATCTTCCTTCCTTTCTGTACAGTCCTGGGGGTCAGAGATGCAGGTCACAGTGGCTGTCGCTGAGGGCCGTGGGGCCCTCACTCACAGTGTGGGGTGGGCTGTGCTGGGGGCCTACGCAGGCCCTCGGGGAGCCCATGTCGGCTAGGAGGAGGGAGGCCCTGCAGCTGAAGTTGTGCCCTGGATGGTGAGGTGGGCAGTGGCCAAGGAGGCCGGGAGCACCCGCCAGCCCACCCAAGCCAAGGTCTGGGCTCTGCAGACGGGCTCAGTGGGTGGAGGGAACTGCAAACCGCTCAGCCTTGCTGCTCAGCACCGAAGGTGGCCGACGGCAGGGTCCCCTGGGCAGGTAGGCATACCTGTCGTGAAGGGCCCTGCAGACCCGAGGCTTTGGCTTTGCCTGTCCCACAGGTGGGGTGCACTGCGTGGCGGGTGAAGGGACCTCAGCAGGTGGTCAGAGATCAGACCAGCGCTGCAGCAAGCTGTCTGGTTGTGACGAGCATGCCGTGTGCAGGGCGCTGGGGCCGGCCATGGAGCCCAGGGCATGCTGTGGCTGCTGCTTGTAGAGAACACAGGGACCCTGAGCAGAGGGCGGGGGCGGTGAAGGGGCTGCCGTGGAGAGGTCTCTAGGAGGTAGGGAGGTGGGAGAGGTGCCCCTGATTCTGCCTTGGGGGCTTGGGCCCACAGAGAGGCCCCCTTCACGACAGGACTGCAGGGGGAGCTTGGTTGGCAGTGGGAGGAGACTGCACTGTGCAGGTGGAGACCTGAATTAGAGGCACGTGTGGGGACACGGAGTGGTCTCTGGGCCCATGGTTGTGGGGGCGGTCTTGGCACAGTTCTGCCCAGGAGGTCCGACTCGCTTGTCCTCAGGACCGGCACTCGGTAACGGCGTGAGGGGAGGCCGGCGGGGGAGGTGTGTACTGTGGAGAGGGTGGTGCTGAGTCTGGGGACCTTGGGATGGCAGCGGTGGGACCAGAGTGCCCCAGGCAGCAGAGGAGCACGCAGGGGCTGAGCCGGGGAGCAGGCTGAGGAGAGGCCAGAGAGAGGAGGCGGAGGAGAGGCTCTCGGCGCCTCACATCCGTTGCCTCTGTCCCAGTGTCTCTGTCTAGTCTCTGTCTCAGCCCCCTCTGGCTGTGCCCCTCTCTTGACCTGAGACCCTCGTAGGTACCTGACTGTCAATGGGTCTACCCCACCCCACTCTGGGCCATTCCAGGGAAGGCGGTGGGCAGGGTAGGGCCCAGGGGCAGGGGCGAAGGAGGCGGGTCCCAATCTCTCTGCATCTACGCAGGGAACGCCATCCAGGCCTTTGGCAACGGCACAGACGTGAACGTGTCCCCTAAGAGTCCCTCGTTCCAGGCCACCCAGGCCCCTCGGGTGGAGAAGACGCCTTCTTTGCCGGAAGACCTGAGTGACAGCACCAGCCTGGGGACCAGCATTATCACCACCTGCACGTCTGTCCAGGTGAGGGCACGGCCGAGGGTCTGGGCATCGCCACGGGGCCCGGGTGACAGACCTAGGAGCTCTGTGGATGGGAAGTGTCAAGGAGGGGTGTTCAGGGGCCGGGCCAGGCCTGCCACACCTGGAGCAGTTAGAGCTGGAAGTGAAGCCAGTGTAAACAGGTACAGACCCTGGGGGGGCCACAGGCCACCTTCGGTGGGACCGAGGTGACAGCATGAGATTGGAGAAGGGGCAATCTGAGGCAGACAGCACTGCCTCTGTGGGGTATGCCTGGTGCTGCCCACAGTGGCCTCTCACAGTCCTGGCCAGGTGCTGGGGAGTCACCTCCAGCCGCCAAGTCTAGAGGGGACCGGACTATAGGCCCTCCTGCAGAGAGAAGTGGTGGTGGGTTGGCCAGGCTGGATCTTGGCACCTGGAGATGCTGGTGCCGTGTCTGGATAGGATCCTCCCGGGCCAGGTCCCTGGTTCTGCTTCTGCTGCTTGAATGGCCAGCCCCATCGGCAGTGACCCTGCTCCTGGCCGGGGTCTCTGTGCGGCAGTTGGGGCCTTGGCTAGCTGACCGGATGGCCTGGCAGGTCACCTACGATGTACTAGGGATTAGTGGTACTTCTGGCCAAGAGCGGGGATTGAGGTGTAATTTCTGGGGCTTCCCAGTTTTTCCGGTGGCCAGAGCTTGCCAGCACGTGCCTCGGAATAAGCCCTTCGAAGCCAGGACAGAGACGCGTGCCCCGAGCTGTTGCCCACGGACCACTATCATGGCACAAGCAAAGGACTGGCCTCCTGCCTTTTCTCTGGTCCGTGTCCCCGTGGCGGGCCCAGTATAGAACCCTGGACTTGGCACCCAGCTGGCCGCCTTTCTTGGCCCTTCCCATCCACAGAGCTCCCAGGTGGCACACCTGGTAGGGCGGGACTGGCCGGGCAGTCGTCAGCTGTCTGCCTGCCGCGCACTGGGGCAGACATCCCAGATGGATCACCGCGCTCTTCTCCCTGAGCCCAGAGGAAGACTCCGGATCTTTCTCTACGGCGCCGTCTCGCGCTATGGCCGATTAACGGGGTGGAGGTGGATGCCGTTCCTGATCGGTGGCATTTGTTCATTCACTCATTCATGCATTCACGTACTTAGTAAATATTTATCGTGTGGCTGTGATGAGCCCAGCACTGCTCAGTGCCAGGCTGAGAAAACACGCTTCCTGCCTGAGAAGCTCTGCGCGTGTGGACTGACGTGCCCCGGCCGACTGCTACACACTGCCAGACTTTAGAACTTTGTTCTCCAGGGGCCCGAGGACCTGGGACCTAACGCTGAGGATGCTGGCGGGGGGTGGGCCTTAGTGCTGCGAGGGAGGGGCCGGCACTCTGCACCGTGTCCCTGTGCTTAGCCATGCCGGCAGTGGGTGGCCTGGCCCAGGAGAGCTGATCCCCTGTCCTCACTGGTCCTCCCCTTCCCCAGGAGCAGGGCCTGAAGGCCAACAACTCCAAAGAGCTGAGCATGTGCTTCACCGAGGTGAGTGCTGGGGGGGCAGTTCCCAGGTGAGCCCGGCTCGGGGCCCCCAGGTCTCACTGCAGGGCCGGCCAGCTGCACTCCGGGCCACCTGGGCCTGGACGTGGGGAGTGCCATGGCTGTAGTCAGGGCCCATGGTCATCCCCTCACGGGAGAGAAATGCCCAGCCCATCCTCACTGTTCAGGACGAGTATACCGGGTGCCGCCTGGCTCTGGCTTTGTGACATTTAGGGGGCACAGAGATGGAGACCTCCCTTCTGGAAGGAGCCCCCCGCCCGGGAGTGTGTATGTGATATACAGACCCCAGTCGTCGGTGGGAGGATGAGGCAGTGAGATGTAGAGATGGTTAGAGAGTGCAGGGAAGGCTGCATGGAGGAGGAGGGATTCGAGCAAATGTATGAATGGGAGGATGCGGGGCTCCATCTCCTCCAGAAGTACCTCCTTCTGCCACCTCCCTCCTCACGCGACCCCCAGCCCCAGCATGCAGGGCGGCCCATTTTCCCGGAGATTGTTGCTCTGCCCACAAACCCGAGGGACAGAGCAGTCCCTTTTGTCCCTGCCTGGCTCCAGGGTACAAGGGAGAGGCCTGGGTGGCGGGAGAGGGCAGGGACCGGAGGGGCGTGGAGGCTGGGCCCTTCCCCTCGCCTGGGCCGGCTCTGCTGACGGCCTGTTTTGTTTCTTGTCGCCCTTCCTGCCATGGACTCAGCTTACAACGAACATCATCCCAGGGAGTAAAAAGGTGGTCAGACCCAGCGCGGGCCCCAGCAGCGCCTGCCCGTCAGCTGCTGTGACTGCACTGTCCCTCCTGGTCCTGACGCTGGCCTTGTAGGCCCGGGCGCCGTCGGACAGGAGCGCCCGCCTGGCGGAGTGGAGACAGACACACGCACCTTGCAAAAAATTTCTTCCCACCTTGTCTCTGAACCTGTCACCTCCCAGGTTTCTTCTCTGGAGAAGTTTTTCTAAACCAAACAGACAAGCAGGCGGGCAGCTGAGAGCCGGCCCGGAGGCGCCCTGGCAAGGGGGACCCAGCGCTCGCAGGGCGAGGTGCCCGGCACTTTCTCCTGGCATGGTCTTCTCTGCATCTTCTGAAGCCAGACACCGGAATGAGACCCCGACAGCGACGGGACCTGTGGCCGTGCCCGCTGCAGGCCGAGGGCAGGACAGCTGTGGCCAACCTCTCGAGCTGCCCACTGTGGGGAACCGGCGGCGGCATGACGCGGGGCTT